TATCAAGAAATTTCTCCATTTTCTAAGAGCTTCCACTATTGCATAAGCCTCTTTTTCCACTGATGAATGATTTCTTTCACTTTTTGATAAGGTTCTTGAAAAGAAAGCAACAGGTCTTCCTCCTTGGCTAAGAGAAGCAGCAATACAAAAATCTGAAGCATCAGATTCAACGATAAAAGGAATCTTGTCATCAATTGTAGTAACAGCTGAAGAAATAATTTCAGATTTAAGAATTTGGAAAGCTTCAGCTGCTTGTTCTGTTAAAGGAAAAAGTATTGCATGTGACTAGTTTTTGTATCTTTTCTGAAAATTGTGGGATAAATTTGGAATAATGTGCAAACATTCCGACAGCTCTCTTTAGTGATTGTGAATCGTTTGGTAAGGGTAACTTCTTTAATGGTTCAAGTCTTTCAGGATCAGGTTTTAAGGTCTGATTTTCTATTTGATAACCCAAAAGTTTGATTGAATTTAGTGTATAAGAACTTTTATTTTGATTTATTGTTTAGATTGTATTTCTTCGCTACTTCCATAAATTTATTAAGATTTTCATTATGTTGTTGTTGATTTAATCCACAAACCGTAATGTCATCAAGATATGCATACACACCTTTTAAATGTTCGGATTTAATAATACCATCGATAACCCTTTGAAAACAAGCCACTCCGTTGGTTACCCCAAAAGGAATCCGGCAAAATTGGTATAGTTGGCCGTTGGCTTCAAAAGCAGTGTATATTTTCTCTTCATTTTAATTGGAATTTGATGGTATGCATTTTTAAGATCATAGTACTGAAGACAGAATATCTTGCTACTTTTCTAACAATATCTTCAACATCTGGGAGAGGATAGGCATCTAAGTAAGTAAAATTTATTAAATTGTTTGTGAATAATCTACCACCATTCGCTTTTTTGTGTGTTTCACTTTTTGTAATAAGTACTTTGTGCACGCCAAGGAGAGTTGCTTTCTTCTATGATTCCATTCGATAGCAGATACTGTATCTCGTCAGATATGAATTTTCTATCTTCAGTTGAAAATTTTCTTGATTTAGTTGCCCTCGGTTTGCAATCATTTGATAGATTGGAGAATAATTTGGGTGGCTCTATATTTAAGTATGCCAAACTACAAATGTTATCTATATGATCAATAAACTAAAGGCATTTTTGAGCCAGCAAAAGTGATTTTCTAGAGAAGAATGTTGTTTAAGCAAGTCATGACCTATAACTACATCAGCCATAAATCTTGAATTATTGATAATTTGACATTTTTATATGAATGTTCGTTTATTTCTAAATTAACAAAGCAGTGTCCTGAGATAGTCGTTCTGAGTGCTGTTGAAGCCATTATTATGCTTGCATGACTTCTAAATGTTTTCACGTTTATAGACAATGCATAATTCTTACTGATATTATGACTCAGAACTACCTGTGTCTATTAAACTTTCAGCTGTATTTCCATTCACCTTTATCTCAGTAACCACTTTTAGATAAGCATTGAGGGGCAGCAGCAAGATTTCTAACATTCGAACTAGATGTAGTAGTAGCTAAAACCAGCCAGCTGATACTGAATTGGGCATCTGAAGCCTACATACCTTGGAAAAATGTCCAACTTTCGAGCATTTCTTACAAACTTTGTCTCTAGCAGGGCATAGGCTACGAGGATGCCTTTCAGTTGATCCACAAAAGTAACATTTCCAACTTTTCACAGCAGCAGAAGTATAATTAGTGTGCTCTCTGGTTTCAGAAGAAATTGCATTAATAATTTGTACAGGAGTTGTATAAGCCTCAGAGTGTTTGAAGCTGACTCCAGAGACTGGGCTTTTACTATGGCATCTTGCAGAGTAATAGTGTTGTTTTCTAGTAAACGTTGTCTTATGTCATTAGAAAGAATGCCATTAATAAAAGAGTCTCTTATATAATCTTCTCTATTTTGGTCTGCAGAAACGGCTAGAAAATTACAGTCTTTGGAAAGCACTTTAAGATGTTGAACGTATTGACCTATATTTTCACCAGTTTGTTGTTTTTTTGTCATTAGGATATGTCTGGGCAAAAATTTCATTTTTGGTTTAACAAAAGCTGCTTCAAGAATACTTTTGGCTTCAGAATACTTTCTACAATCAGAGATGAGTTCATAGATATTGTTGCTCACGTAATTTACCAGTAGTTTGAATTTCTCCTCCTCTGAAACATCAATCACAGAGGAAATAAAGTTTTCAAAGGTAGCTTTCCAATGCATCCATTCTTGAGACGATCTAGGAGAGTTAGGATCAGCATCGAATCTGTCTGGTCGTAGTAGCTTATCCATATTTGATATTTCTTGTATATTAAATTGTAATGAAATGCAAAACCTTTATAAACTAGGTTTTAATATACAAGAAATTAGCATTGTTTTGTTTGAATGAATAACATGACAATTACATATGACATTAACTAAAACTAAGATGACAAATGACAAACACAGTTCACAGACCACAGGACAGACCATACTTTATTATAGTTTATTGCTATATATGACTGTAACTATACTATTTATACAATTTATATTTTTCTTTTTTGCCTCTTTTTTTTTGGTCAGCTTTTAGATGTTCTATAAGCTGACTTACTTTTGAGCAGAGATGAATTATTTTAGGGCAAATATATTATATATTAATTCGAGAAATATTTGATTTCTTAATGATATTATCTCTTTTTCATTCAGTCTGCTACGTAACTGCTAGTTTATATTTGCTCACGATGGGAATGACTGCTTCAGAGATAACACAGAAAGATCTTTGCATTGTAATAAAAAAAACTCAAAATCCACTGAGAAGACGCCGTCACTTCAGCTCTTAGAGAACAAACAGCTGTTCTTCTTTACGTGTCATCTCCTCTGAGAAGGTTGGCAACCATTGAGTTCTGTAGAAATGCAGTTAAACCACACTCTTACGATTGTTTAGCCAGTAAACGCGTCTTCTACCTCGGCTTTTTCGTCTTTTTATTTTCTCCTGCATGGTCACCTCTCATAATATGGCTTAAATATTGCAACTTTCTAATTTTAATAGTGTTTAGGACTTCCTTTTTTTTATTCCTTCCAATATTAAGTCGTTCGTAACTCGGTCCACCCAACTTATTGTAAGCATTCGTCCATACCCCCACTCCATACAGAATCACAGAGAACACGTAACAACTTAAGTCTAACTCTTGTCTAAAGCATATCCAGTTGTTGATTTGATTTCTTCAGTACAGTCGTTAATTGAATGCTATGCTGGAACAACGTTGTAACCGCCAATACTTTCATATGTGGGTTTTCCATACAACTAGGTGTTCTATATGTGCAAAATAATATATTGCTGACTGTGTGGAATATTATGAGACTTAACTTACCTGTTTTGGTAGTTTGAAAATTAGTCAACCATCAACTTTCGGTGTAACAACGTTGTATGTGTTAAAGTGGGTGGTGTTTCGCGCCAAATTATCTGCACGTGTTTTGTAGGTCAACGTTTTCAATCGTGTAATTTTGTCATTTCGGCTAAAATGGATGTTTTGGATAACCAAGTCAGTGATTATCCAAATCAACAGAGGTAAAACACGAAAGCAGAACATTGATAAGTGGAAGCAGAATATAGAAAACGTCGCAGAGATGATGGTGATTCGTACGTTTCGTCTAGAGAAGTACCCAACTTCTTTACTTTACTGCAACTATTTAATGAATAAAGGGAAAGTTCTTGAGGGAAAAGATATTAACAACTAGACTAGGAATGTAGGTATTGTGTAAATTTTTTGTGAGTAAGTCTTATTCTTATTTCTTTTTACCTACAGGAAATCTAAATTTGAATCAAGAAAGCTATAAGTGTATTTAATCGGACGAGAAATATAAAATGCAATAAAAACTGAGACTCGAATGAGCAATTACGAATGAGGACTTTCTCCTGTTTTATTATATTATAACTGATTACTCTTGTAATCGCCGAAAGACTTACAAATGTGATGGTATGGCTTTACTTAGGGGATTGGACCTATCGATTTACTAATAAATGATCCACGCACGAGTGGGAAAAAACCATAAATCCCGTCATCAGTAAGATCTAATAAAAGCAACATGTTTTGGACACATGATGCAAAATGGTAAAAATCGACAACTAAAATTGATATTTAAGGGTAAAGCATCTCTAAAAAATCTTAGCCAATGGACTGCAATCTCGTCCACCAAACTGTTTAGAACTGCAATTGATAAAACTATTAGAGAATCTGACCAGGAAATATAAAAAGGACAAGCACTAGTAGAATCCTTATTAAAGATCTACAAATTTTAAGCGATGTATAATGTTTTTTAATAATTTTCCTTAATACATTCGCTGCCGATCACGCACCAAAGCGTGATTCTATTATTTAAGCTGGATGCGCCTTATGCCAGGAGGTTCATCAACACGTGAAGGGTCTCCTGGACAAAGATTACTATTTTTGGTTGGCAGTGAATGTCTTGATGCAAAATTTTTCCCAATTTCTCAAAATATAACCTTTTTTCTACTCACTTCTTAAATGGTGTACGGTTCTTGTAGGTGAGTTATTTTTCTCGGCACATCAGTAGGTATATTTTAACCAGATTTTTTCGTCAATTATCTTCTTACTCTTACATCTTAACATTTATTTTTGATTTTAAGTTTGTTTGAAGATTGCTCTTTTATGCACCCATAATTTGTATGTCAGATTATTTTTGATTTACTCTCACTTTCGGATCGATATATTTAGTACTATAAACAGTTTTATGACCGTGTAATACAATACATATTGTCTAAAATTAAATATAGTGGTTTTCTTTATAAAAGAAAGATTTTAATATTTTGCTCTTCTAGTTTTGATTTCTATTCTCTTTAGAAATATAGATGCGGTATTTGTACTTACACATGGCAATGTATTAAAGTACAAAAATATGGTAATAAATATGATGGCTTGTATTAAAATAAATACGGATTGCTACAGCTTAAACCGATGAATGTAATGGAAGAACTTGAATATAGTGGATACATTAACCAGAGCACACTTCCGAATGTTCATCCCAAGCAGAAACCTAGAACAAAAAATATATACTTCAATATTATATCAACAAAATCCCTTTGACTAAATGGTAGTGCAGAGCAGTATATAAAATACTATATTAAATTAAATTACATCGATCATTACCAGACAGTTACACTAGCCCATGATAACGAAGAAGTACAGAACATTGTTGCCAAGTTGTTGTTATGAACTTTTTGTTCAATTAACAAAGTACATTTAAGAGAAGGATGCAAACAAAGACAATTGCAAAATGAAAAAAAAATCGGTTGGTCTCGGACCAAATTTTCTTTTATTCCAATCTTTTCTTTAACTTACTGACTTTAACTTTCTTTAACTTTCTAATTTGACCGGCTATATCATTGTCTCGATAAATTTTAAGAATTCCCTTAAGTGTACTGACTGTTTCGAAAAAACTCTAGTCAAGTAATGATAAATAATAATTTTATAAAAAGCTTTTATTATTATTATTTATTATTATTTTTTATTATTTTATTTTTATTATTATTAAAAACAACTGCCAAAACGCCGAGATTCCATATGAGAAAATTAAAAGAAATTGATATATACCAATAAATCAAAGAACAAGTGCACAAAGAAGTTTAGGCAAATAAAATTAAAAAAAAATTAATGGGAAAAACCCCGTAATTGGCTGTAATACCATCGTTTAAAAAAACACAGAAGTTAAAACACTTCACAAATGTGTATTTAGGTATAAAACAAACAAGTTAAAACTTTTTTAAAAAATGGGAATTTAATCGGAATAAATGGAATTCTTACAGACACCATATGGTTAGCAGACAAATACTAGGCACTGAAGATGATCCGTAGTGATCGAAAACGTTCTGCAGAAACTTAAATGTGACGACACTTTTTTAAAAAGTTTTAACTTGTTTGTTTTTATACTCTAAAATACACATTTGTGAAGTGTTTTTAACTTCTGTGTTTTTTTTTTTGGCAAATAGTGAAAATCCCGTCAGAAACAATGTCTTTGTTTCTCGTTTATCCACACAACATATCTTAACAAAAAAGATCTAAACCCCCTTTTTATGAAAGACTCAATAGATACATGACCAGCAATAATATTGTCTTCCCTAAAATATATCAAACCACCTCTTTTAACCCTCCTCCTTGGATGGTCAGAAAACCTTCCTAGACTTGAGTTTAACAAAGACTAGTAATCAACTTAATGCTTCCTCTATGGTTAAACCAATTTTATAGTAAGATTGATGAGTACAGAAATACCAACATATTTATACTGATGCCTCCAATCAGAAAAAGGAGTGGGATGTGCCTTCATACACAACGACTACACTGCTTCATACAAAATCTCAAATTTTAGCACAGTAGGTATATTCGCTCCGTGCGTGACATGGTAGGGGTACATTGAACGATGCCAGCGTGCGTAGCGGCAAAATATGCACAAAAATTGGAATATTGGACAAAATATTTTTACGCATAAATTTTATCAAAAATGTGTACAAATACATGTTGCGTAATTTAATTGGTAAATAGCAAAAACAGTGAGTGTAGTTTTTATAGGTTCCCAAAGATTACATTTAAATTAGAGAAAAGAATAAGATGAATTCGTGCTATTAATATGAAAAAGTAAAATATCACATAATTTCATTTTTATGCAATTGAAATAGGAAACATTTAAATAATTTACCTTGAATGATATTTCATGAGGCTTCAAGCTAACTGCAGATGACTTTAGCTTTTATATCATAACTTTTACTATTATTGTTTTCAATTATATGCTCTTTTGCGTGAAAAACTTGATTTGCCAGTACTAGATTTTTCCCTTTCTTTTCCGTTTGGAGTTGAAAAGATATTTTATGATGACTTTTGAGACACCCAGTTTTTAATACTACATTTATTTTGTACATAAACTGAAAAAAATATAGTTGAAAAACTAATTTATTAATAATTGTCAATTTCGCCATGTATTTAACAATGTCTAACATATGTCATATGTTTAATCTGAAAATTGGGACGTCCAAAATTGTCAGATAAAGGCGGTAGTGTCGCGTCAGTCACGCACGGAGCGAATAAAGGAGAACTATTCGCAATCTACAAAGCATTAGAATATGCACTGGACGCCAAGTTAGACAGGTGCCTAATAATACCAGATTCCTTAAGTTTCCATGAGTAGCTTAGGCACCATTTACCAACTCATCCATTGTTGCGATTGATAAAGAACCATTTGTACCAACTTCAGCTAAAGAATGCGATTGTAAAATATTATGTGGATTCATCACATTAGGTATACAAGGTAATGAAAGAGTAGATGCTGCCGCCAAATCTTCAGTTAACAACAAAGACTTGATAGAATCTACTATAAGAAGATTTTCATCACTGGATTAACTCGACATTGAAAGAACAGTGGCTTTCACAGAATGGAATCAATCTCACAAAACTACGAGACATAAAAACAACTGTTACAAGATGGAAGAATATGTGTAGCAACAGAAAAGACCAATTAATAAACAGTTGAGATTAGGACATACACGCTTAACACACGAATACCTTATTACTAGAAGTGTTCAATCCAATGTGCGGTAAGTGTTTCAACGTTTAAGTGTCAAACATTATTTAATCGAATGCCCGGCATATTTAATGAAAGGCAAAAGTGTAACTTACGACAACGCTACGCGAGTGTCTACAAGAAAACTGTGTATATTCGCTTGTTTTAGTTTTCTAAAGTCAATTGAATATACAACAAAATTTAACATCAGTGTATGTACAAATAAATGTGTAATCTTCTATTAACCAATGTACTTCACTCAGATTTATGTATGTAAAACTCTATCTATGTTATGTCCTATGTCTATATTAACTCTATGTCTAAAAAAAATGTAAAACAAAATTGTAATACCAAGCGGCGCTAATAACCACTTAGGTTGATGCGCTTAATTGTAATAAAAAAAAAGAAGTTTAGGAAGTAGAAAGGCAAAAGCAATTGACAGCAACAGATAAATGGAGGAAGTAGAGGATATCTTGAGAAATATCACAAAACAAAAACTTCAGGAAGACACTTTATCTAGTAATTAAACAATCTATCACACAAGAGATAAAAGAACTGATGACGGAAAGAAGGGCACACAAGGTGAGATAAACAACATGACAGCTTTATCATACCGGAAAATCAAATAGACAGCTGGTATATACCAGAAGAAGGTATCGGAAATATCATTTACAAAAATAAACAAGATATAACGGAATTACAGATAAAATAACTAGATGGGAAGAATACATAAAAGATGTATTCGAAGACGACGAAAAATTGAGGACATTGAACCAAGAGGAAGAAATGGCACACCAATCACCAAAGACGAAATTGAGAAAGCGCTAACATGTATAAAAAATGAAAAGGCCATGGGACCAGATGAAATACCTACAGAAATCTTAAGAATATTAACAAAAATCATATGGGACCAATAATAGAATTATTTAATGACATTTATTATACGGAGAGATTCTGAAAGAATGGATAATATAAATATTCATTCCAATACCCAAAAAATCAAACGCATGTAGTGTGCGACAATTAGCTTGATGAACCATATTCTAAAAGTGTTCTTACGCGTGATACACGAACGTATATAAAAAGTTAGATGATAGAATAGCTAAAAAACCAATGGGATTCAGAAAAGGCTTTGGCACAGAGAAGCATTATTTTACTGTACAAACACTAATCAAACGAGTCGAGATGTCAATTGCGACGTATTGATACGTCTAGTCGGCTTTGAAAAAGCTATCTCTTCACCATGTTTTTCATATCTTCTTTTTTACTATTAATGTCCGTTGTTTTTTTGTGATATGTTGCATTGCCAACAACGAAAACACCTATTGAGAAAATTTAAAAGTAATTTTTATTATCAACCACTTCTTATAATTTTCAGAATTCATTTCGTCGTGCTTCACTTTTTAATTGTGATTTCTACCTGTAGGTAGGAACTTTTCAGAAAACCATTCTCATTGCCAACACTAACAATTATAAGCCGTTGTCCCTTAAAAACGGATTTTCTATTAACAATTGTCACTTTTCTCTCCTTTGGTGTAAAATTTAAAAAACGTTATAAATGTCTTGTGTTTGATGTATTATAACTTGCTGTTTTCGCATATTTTCCATATTTATATCACAACATTTACAACACTGCACACAAGTACACCCAGAACTCGCGTCTCTTCATTATCTTGGGCTAGTGTAAGTACCAGAAGAGTATGCCAGAATTGTCGACAACATCTACTAATTGGATAGGGCACCATAAGAAGAAGTGTAAGTTATGCACACTGGGTACAGAACGCTACTAATCAAATGTTACACTAAAACGACATCTCAAAGATAACAAGCTAGTTAACAAATGGAATTAAACCGTGAACATTTTTGAGCAATACTAGATATTGTGAAATATATTAAGCCTTTACTGTACTATAGTAAGACTGTAAAATTTGTAAAGAAGTTAGCACCATACATAGGGTTGTAAATCCAGAATGATGATAATATATTTCATGATTCTACGACAATGACAGAAAACTCATGTTAAGGTTTGTCAAAGTTTAAATGTAATTTAAGTGAACCACAAACAAGGAAAAAGGAAGTGTCCCCATTTGTTCAACATGGGAAAACTTTTTAGAAAGTAATCAAACTATAGATATTGAATTATGTACATTCAAAATTTATGGTCAAGAGGATATAAATATATAAAAAATCTTACCTGACAATCTCTGCTGCAATACCATTGATTTCCACATCCGGCACAAACAAACTGAGCTGCTTTCTGATTGCATCCTTGACAAAATGGTACTTCGTCACCTCCGTCAGAATTATTGTCAGAATTGGCTTGTTTTTTATTCTCTGTGTCGTTGTTTTCGTCTATTACTAGTCTGTCTGCACTATCCTCAGTTCTTCTTCATCAATAACAAAAATTACCAATTAAAAATTAAAGAAAATCGCTCATCACTATTTAGCTGACTTGTGAGCAAAAGCATTGTTGTGTGAGAATGATCAGTAATCATGGGTGATTTCTTCTTAGTTGTCATAAACTCAAAAATAGTATACCAACGAGTGAGTCTCGACACTGAGGAGTAGGCAGATTGGAGACCTCGTACTGTTTGACGGTTCTTGTACTCTGAAAGAACACGAAACTGTGATACTGGTACGTCACGAGTGAAGGCAGTAGGCAGATTGAGCCCACCGTAACTTGTACGACACTGTATCCTTCTTGCTAATGGCTCCAAAATGGGTGCCGAAACGTAGAGTATTAAATTCTCAATGCGGTTCTTCCCGATAGTAATTTTGCTGAAACTTTTGTCCAAACTGATCTCTAAAAAAATCCTTGTTAATTTTCTGAGATACTTATCTTTCTAGCAAACATAGAGAATGCTACTGCCATTTTGATACCACTTCCTGTATGGAAAAAATCAACGATCAACTCGCGGATACATCATGCTACAATACGATGAATCGTAATCCCACATTAAATACCGAACGCAACATTTCTTCTATCATCAAACATTAAAATGTGTCCAACATTATCAAAAAGCCTACACCTCCTCATAATTTGACAAAACAAAGTTTTTCCAAGATCCATAAAGAAAACCGTAAATCCACACATTTCGTTGGCATTCCTGTCAGTTTTACTGTTTCGTGTGTATTTACCAACACTAAAATTGAAGATTTTTTAGTTGTTTTGTAAGATAATCTGGTCAATGGCAAGATTTGATTATGGCTGATTTTGAAGATAAACGGTTTTTTCTACCCATTTTTATTTTGGAAGCATATTTTTTACTGAAGTATTTGGAACCCCAATAATCATTGTCTCTTGTCATTAGTGATATGATACAGTTCAAGTCCAAAATATGGTTCGATACTAGATGATCATGATCTTTCTTTTTTTCGAGCATCTGAATACGCAACATCCAAGTATGAGAGGGGATACTATTATGATTTCCTTTCTCGATTGGTTGGTTCAATATGCAAAAACCGACTCAGGCAAATAGTTATTTTGACGCTTTGCCATATCCCGCACAGCACTAAAGAATTCCGTCACTAATCTTCTCTTCTATTGAATCATTTCCAATTTCTGAACCTCAAGATAAAAGATAAAATTTATCACCTCATTAAACCTTTATCCCTAGGGGCTATTTTTAGTCCACGTCCAAACGATTACCTGCTGATACCTAAATCCTCTTATAGATCCTTACTCGGATTCTCGTCTTCCTATACTTGTCACCATTTTCGCACATATTCCTCCAACATTATTATGAATGCGAATATCATTTTAAAATGCGAAATCCTCTGCATAATCATTCACGGTTCCCATGGCAACGTGTGAAACTGGCGAGTGCAGTTCCGTCTAAAATATATTCCGTCTTCACCCGCTAATTAGATCTGTATTTGGTATTCCTATTTTCGGAAATTTCCGTCGGCGAAATATTTGATGATTTAGTCTATTACCTATATAGAGATAATTTTTTATATAGTAAAGTGTATAGTATAGTATTTATTAGTTTAGTTTAGTCACAGTATTAATTTTATTTGTTTAGTGCACTTTAATTAATACATTTCTCTGTGGTATGTTTCGGATTTCGGATATAAAATTGTTTCTCGTGGATTTCGTTTGGACAAAATAATTTTAGACAGTCATGATCCAATTAACGACTTGGTGTGTAATATATTAGAGACTCCGTTTATATATATAATGGCTAACACCCCAGCGTGGGGTTAGACCGCAAATGCTTTCTAGATCCTATTTCTTAAGTGGATCAGTCTTTTTTTTGTTTATCTTATCTTCTTGACAATATCTCTCCATTTTTTCCTGGTCTCTAGTTCTTCCTCTCCATTCACAGACTCCTGCCCTTTTGAGGTCTTCTTCAACTTCTTGCAGCACTTTGATCTCGGTCTTCCCCTTCTCTTTTTCCTCCTGGATTCCATTTTCTATCATTGCGTATTGTCACTGCCTCATCGCCTGCTCGCCAAATGTGACCTAACCATTCTAACTCTGCATTACTTTATTTTAGTTACGATGTCTTCCTAAGTTCTTCCTTAATTTCTGCATTTGTTCTGCTTCTATATTCATTTTGCTCTGTTCTGTTGGTCCTAGTATGGTTTCTCATAATCTTTCTCTCTGCAATTCTTAAGTCTTCTTCATCTTTTTTAACCATCGTCATTGTTTCCCCTGCATATAATAATATTGGTCTAATTTATGGTGTTATAAATGCTCATCTTGCTTTTTGTAGTCAGTGTTTTTAAGTAATCTTTTGTTGCAAAATAAGCTTTATTCGCTGCTAATATTTTTTCTTTTATTTCGGATTTCCTTTCTCGGATTTACTTATTGTAAACTCCTGAGGTATTTGAAGTATTCTACTCTGAACTTCCTATTTTGATTTTTTCCTTCATTGGTTTTTTCCCTAATCTTAAAATTTTTGTCTTTTCTTGATTTAATCTTAAACCCCATTACCCTCCCCTTTCTCTCTTATTCTTCAAACATTTCTTTCATTATTTTCTGTTCTTTGCAATAATAGCAATATCATCTGCATATGCAATATTTGACACCTCTTGTTCTGAGATTTCCTTTATTTATATTTCGCAGTACATATTCTAATGCTAGATTAATAGCGTTGTTGATAAGGCATCTCCTTGTTTCTTCCCATTTATTTATAACTGAATTCTTCTGTTTCTCCTCTTTGTGTTCTTTATGCTTATTTTGTAGTTCTCATTGTCATTTCTATTAATTTTCTGAGTTTATGTGGAATTTTAATTTTTTTTAAGTGCTTGTCATTAATACGTTCCTTTTATTTGAATCAAATGCCTGTTTGAAGTCTATGAATAACATTTCCAATTCTAATTTATACTCGTTTGCTTTTTCCCATTATTTGTTTTATTGTGTGTATTGCATCTATTGTAGATCTTCCTTCTGTGAATCCACATTGGTACTGTCCTACTGTCTTCTTTGTGATCTTTGATAACCTCTTTTTTATTATTGATGTCAATATTTATATGTTGTATTTAGTAATGTTATTCCTCTATAAATTTTCACAGATTTGTTGGTCTCCCTTTTTATGTACTGTTTATGATCTGTCCTACCCTCCCAGTCACCTGGCATTTTCTCTTCTCTCCCATATATTTTTCAATAGTGCCAGTATTTTTCCTCTTAGTTCCCTTCCCCCGTATTTTATTAGTTCCATATTAATTCCATCTTTACCTGGGGCTTTTCCATTTTTGCTTCTCTGTATTACTTTCATCAATTCCTCTAATGGTTGGTTCTTTTGAAAATTTCGGATGTCTACTTCGTTTGCTTCTTCTTCGTGTACTGGTTCCTCCTCGTCATGCGTTTCTTCTTCTGTTGTTTCCTCCGTCAAGAGCTCTCTGTTAATAATCTCTCCATACTTGCTTGTATTCTTGGGCCTCTATTATCACTATCCCTCTCTATTTTTTTTTCCGTTTGTTTTGCCCTTGTATTTTTTGTTTTGTTCTTTAATTTTTTTTGTAAAAACTTTTCGTATTTCTGTTTGTTCTTTCCTGCTCTATTTCCTGCAATTTTTTTTGTCTACCCATCTTCTTTTATTTTGCCTTATCACTTTCTTAGCATTCCTTCTTAATTTTTCATATTCTTCTCTGTCTTCCTCTTTATCTGTTCTTAGCCATTTATTTCCGGCTTGCACTTTTTTTTTTCCTGCTTATTTCTCTACATTCTTGGTTATACCATTCGTTTCTTGTTTTAGGCCTGACTTTTACCTATCTGCATATTTGCACCTTCTTCTATTGATTTTTTGATCGTCTCCCATTCTGTGCTTATATCTTCTACTTTATATTTCTCTTTTATTTGAACTGTTACTGCCTCTTCATATTTTTTTCTTACTTCTTCATTACTCAATTTATTGAACATTCCACTTTTTATGTTGGGTTTTTTTTGTTTTGTTTCAATTTTAACTTTTTGTCTTATAATGGCTGTGACCATGTGTGGTCTGTTTGGGAATCTGCACACGCACCTCTGAACGTTCTTTACATATTTTATTGACGATTGTTTTCGTTTATTAATCATTATGTGATCAATTTGACTATATGTTTTCTGATCCGGGGTGGTTGACCTAACCCTCCCATGTTACCCTTACGTATTTAGGGGTGTTTTGTCGATTAATTCAAATTTGTCGATCGACTTATTGAATTAACAAATTATGTTCTTGTTGTTTCTAGTGTTACAAGTCTGTCTTTGCCCATTGTCATTCGTGGTTTTCGTGTATTGTATGCTTTCCTGTATTGCTTTTCCCTTTTTTCTATCTCCTCTTCGACCTTATCATAAAAAATTCTTCTTTTTCGAGAGACTCCGTTTTAGGCATTAAAAAAATGAAGATAAAAGGGATCGACTGAAATGTGACACATGTGGACACTGAAATGTGAAGGTTCAGAACTAAAAAACCCTAGGCAAGCAGAAACGAATTTGTATCTAGTATAAGGGCCCTAAACAACTGTTTCCAAAGTTATTTGGGCCCTCTAAACTCGATACATTTTTAAGGAATTTTTAATGAGATTTGGGCGCGAAAGTAGGTACCAAAACTCCCTTTGCTCCGGCAAATTCTTTGCTTTTCTCTCTCTTCTCTTCTTGTGGTGTACATTTCAATCCTTTGTTCTTGTAGTGTGTATCTAATCGGTCCGCCAATTTCTTAATCCAAGATCATCAAAGATGCATTTATCTAGTCTTTTTCTTCCATTCTGCAGTTCGGCCATTATATATTATTAAAAAATATTTCCAAAATTCCAGAAAAATTCATAGATGTAGAAATCTGAAGGCATTCTGATAATATAAACAGAGAGAAAGCAAACGATCTGCTATACGTTTTGTTTTCACTTATTTTAAAATAATTAGTTATTATTTTTCGGTAATCATACACTATAAACAATAACGGAGTATTTAATCATAATAAAAAAACAAATAATTACCATACTCTTTCCTTTTGATGGAGTGACGTTGTACTCTGCATCAACCGGAGTAATCGTGATTTCATTGCAAGCCTGAAAATAGACATGAATTCAAATTATATAATACTCATACAAATAATCAACGAGAATCATGGTTAGTTATGCACACTCTAATGGGTTCAAGGTAAAATTTTGAATAATTATAACAAAAAGCGATAAACCGTCTATTAGAAATTACAATTCAGTATGACCCACATCATAGATTATAAAATAGACTATATAATCTTCTAAAACAAACTCTCAACAATAAACAAGCTAAAATTAATGTATGTATTAAACAAGGTTGTTTTTCTCGTAATTTTTTTAATTTTAATTTAATCCTTAATATAATCTTCTGAATTAATTTCAAGAAAATCTGTATAAAAATATGTTCTATAGGTTTTTCTTCTCGATGAATCGGTTGAACGTGTAAGTCCATTTCAATAAAGTGAATAACAAAGAACAATTCGAGGAACTATACCGATATATTAACAAAAGGGATTTATTAATGTTTCTATGCAAGTACAGACAAGGTTTGAGTACCAGTTTTCTCATGGTTTTGTTTGATTATAATAGCAGACAATATGTTAGTATAATAGTAGATTGTGTTAGATCACTAATTCAAAGGTTTTTTGTGCAAATCATTGGGCCCCAAGCAATACCAAGGAATCAATTCATTCAGCAACATGAAACGGCTTACTCTAATATTTTATACAATCCGAATCCGAATGAAACAAAGGTAATTGTATTATTAGATGCAATATATGCCTACTTTCATAAAAGTAACTATTTTCAAGTACTTCTACAAATACAAACTTATTGAATGAACAAAAGTAGACATGGTTTAAAACCAACATTAGTTGTAGTACCTGGTGGCTATATTTGATTCGTAGAATAATGATGTTAAAATACTTCAACATGAAATTACCAAAGATGGAAATTACTTAAGAGATTGTTTACAAAATATAGTTCTGGTAGACCGAGGATATCGAGATTGTATACAGGTTTTACAATTACTAGCCATCGAACATAACATGCCAGCACTTTTACCACGTGGACCAAAGCAACTTTCAACTAAAGATGCTAACAATTCACGAATTGTTACAAAAAATCGATGGTTTGTAGAAGGAAGAAATGTCCATTTACGCACTATCTTTGCCAATCTTATAAACATGCAACATGAAAAAGAATTTAAATGATTTCTAGCGTATTGTCTGGTGCACTAGTAAATAAGTATGACCCACCACACGGAAGATGCTACAGCTGAAGCTGCTCAACAATTATCAACAAGATTATTAATGCCTAATGTGGTAAAAGCTGGAATTGAGACTGAAAATTTGATTAAAAGAAATGGTCAATGGAGAAGGCTTCATAATTCTGATTTTGCCAACTCTCCTGTTTTCAATTTAAAATAATCTACATAAGACACACAACAACCAATCGATAAATGACATTACGATCTCACAGAGGGGCCATACAGCCCCAAACATTCGATTGCAGCGACCCATTATGCTACTGCCGTGACGGAAGTACCCATTCCGGGGGGGCGCTTTGGCCCCCCCAACGGGGGGGGGGCATGGCCATAGAGAGATGTCAAAGGGGGAGGAAGACGTTTGTGCGATTTTAGAACTTTGCGAATTTTAGAAAAAGAAAAATAAAAAAAAAAATCAAACCAACATTTACAAATATTATTACATTTGTTAATGTTTTTAATGTACACGGATTAAAATGTAATTATATATTGAATAATTTTTGGTCATCATACCGTTTTTTCAAAACCCGGACAGCAAGAGTCCGTCATCGCTGTTTATATGTTGCTACAAGCCTCTACATGGAAATCCCGCGCAGCATCACCCTCCCGCCACCGGTTTCCGCATATACGTTCATTAGGAATTTAGGTTTAGATCATAGTGTAGTAGGACTAGGAAAATAGTTGGAGTAACCTACCGGACGTGTGCATGAGCTCTATGTGACATTCATTCACAACAAATTTACGAGAAAATAATAAATTTGTCAGCGTTTTCTCGGTATCAATTTGTTGCTGAGAAAGCTAGTTTGAGTGTGTATATATAATTATTGGTGTTTCACTGTTTTAAAAAGGTAAGTTTGTGTTTGTTACAAAAAACTACAGTTGTCCATTTTTATTTAATTTACTAAATTATTGATTTGAGCTCAGATTGCCGATTCGTAGTAGATCGAGTCAGTGGATCTTTTTTAACACATTACAATCAAACCTTCGTGGGCGAATTAGTTTTGTAAACGTTAAATACATTACGTTATTAGAGAGAAATGGGTCATTTATAAATAGGTAATAAACTTTGTATGGTATTTATGCTTGTTTTATTTATTTCTGTTTTATTTGTTTATAGGTTGCACAAAATGGCCAGCGAAAAAAAAGAAAAAAAAGCAGTTTTTCGATGATTATATTAAGTCTTGGATTTTACCTTTCCTTAGACAAAGGATCGAGTTACAGTTATCTCCAGTGTGTCTTCGTGTGATGTGATATGTATGATAGTTTTAAGTATTGAGAGCATGAGGGGTTCCCCATCGCCTTGAATAGGGACATTTGAAGGTTTACAACATCCTACTCTGGGTTTTGAAGACCGCAAGAGTGATTTTTTTTCTTCTAAAGCGAAGGAATCACTCGAAACGGGATGAGATTGGACTTTATTAACTCGGGTAACGTTATCACCAATGGTTGTATCGCGAGCATCTCAAATCTTCTTTTGAAATAGCTTTGATGATAGCAAAGCAAAAGATACCTCATACTATTGGTGAAGACAAGCATTAATAAAAAACCGTGTTGATGTCCTAAATGCCACGCAGATAATTTTAGGAGACAGTTGCAGTATAGCAAATAAAAATGAATTCTATTTTCTCTGGGTCGGATCATACAGTCAAGCGTAGAAATCGATGTACATTTTGCCAGCAGCAGACATACAAGTCACAAATCCTACAACAACGCTAAAAATTATCGGCCATTTTTTGCAATTAGTTGCGAAATGAACATTCTCACCGACCATCGTTTAATTGTGCTCAGTTAATAGTTGTATGTTCGTTTCATCGGGCGGATGATTGGAGGATAGCATTGAAGAAGAGGATTTTTGTACTCCCATATTCGTTGTCAGCCGGTACTACTCTGAGAATATATTTATTTCATTATCAAATTTTGTTTTGAAAGAAACATTGTCTTGGGATTGGTATAAAACTCATTGGACTTTTGCACTGATGCCCGCCGCACCTGCACTGATATGTGTACGGATCAGGGGCTCTAGCTAAAAAGCTCAAAGAAAAAAAAAAATCCCCGCAATGGTTATAGTAGACACATTGTGTTTATTTCATCGGCTTGCTTTGGCTTTCCAAAACCATTACCACAGAAATTACGCCAGTACTTGGATCTCGGCTCTAACTCGGCTATTATAGGAATTGTCAACATACATTATGAGCACAGAGCGCTTTGAACAGTCGGTTATTTACTTTACTTTGCAGGAAGAGGATCTCCGATTCTGTTCACAAAGTGTGATCTTCCATGTTTTCTGTTTCTGTTCTGTTCCACTACAGATGAAAAAAAGTACGCTGGCTCTTCCAAAGGCATACATGTTTGGCCTCGCCCTTTATGATTTGAAGAAGAAGAGTAATTTCTTTTTCTACGAAGTTTCTAGCAAAAAACATCAGATTTCTTTTACAATGTTCAAAGATGACTCAATTGCCAATGGAGGTTGGCTTATTTGGCTGACATATTCAATCCGTCTCTTGAATGAAACTAACTTAAGGTCTTCAGTGGCAGTAGTACGGCACTGTACTAAGCTCATCTTATGATTATATTCAGGGGCGGTTCATATCCACAGCTTCAACTTTGGAATCAAAAAATCTCTTCTGAAACAATGTTTTGTCTTTTTCTCGGTCTGTTGTTCGAAGCAATATTAGAAAATTATTTATACTTGGACGCAACCGCAAAATTTGGAAAGCTGACATAAAAAAAAAAACTCATTTTTGCAAGGCGCCTGGAAGGACGGAATGTTCGCCGAGCCGTTACTTTCGAGACATCAATTCAAGAGTCACCAATTATGGCCTGTATGATGAACAAGAAAATCCATTTGTTGTTGATGTGGTTGTCCAAGTACCAGGAAGAGAAATTCAGGAAGATAGGAATGAATTTCTAGATATGGAATCGCTCTCTTCGGACTCGTTCCATGGAAAGATGGACTTCCATCTCTGGGACAGGGTTGCAGAAAATTTTGGATGATTTTAAAAGATTGCCCTGTTATATTCGGAAAAGGTTCTGCCTCTCGTTGCTTTACGAATTCCTTGTTCCTTTTTCTTCAAGTTACTTAATGGTAATTACAGGCTTTTTCTGCTCTAGTTTTAATTTAAAACCTAAAACAGCGAAAAATTCGTCTTGATGTTTTCGATAGCGATCCCTGATGGATGATAGCTCTGGGCACAAAAACAGGATCCTTGTATCAACCAAAATAGTACCGTATATGCAATCTCAAGTGTTCTCTCATTAATATTTACTTTGTTAAATTTAATTTTTTTTGATTTTGATTAAAAAAACATTGGTACTTTCTAGGTTAATTAAAACTTTTTAAATTTTTGTTTATTAGACTTAAAAATCAAATTTTAAGTATATAATGTGCGGTTTTTTGTTGTTATTTATTAAAAATGTAAAGGGGGGGGACATGAAACTTTTTATTTATTAGTCCGGCGAGCCCCATACAAAGAAATGGGGTTTGGGAAGGAAACCCTGTGTGCTAGTTATTACAAAATGTAAAAACAAAAACATCGAGAATGTAAGGCGAAAAGCACAGAGAAAATGAGACGTAGATAAATTGAAAGAGAAAGAGGTACAGAAGAAGATTTCTTCAAGAGGTAAATACAGAGATGCAGTTCAAAGAACGAACAAATGGAGGAAGTATGGAAAAAAATCAAACAAAGAATAAACAGAAGAAAGTGGTTGACAACATGCAAAATAAAAAGAAAGAAATAATATGAATTGACGAAGAGGTGCAATTTACATGTGGAAGAAAAATAAATTAAACAAGATTGAAAATGGTAAAAACAGCTAAAGAAGAGGTAACGAGGAAAAATACAAAGATCAAAGGCAAAAGACAACAAAATTGTTTAAATCGAAAAAAAAAAATCAAGAATTATGAGCGAGATACAAAAATAAAATAAAAGACGCAAACTCAAAACCATTATACAACCGAAATGGACAGCTAATACTAGTATACAGAAGCAAAAAAAGTGTCTAGAAAGTATTTCGAAGAAAATATAATTATCAAGAAACGCTATCTTTCAAGTTCCATCTCCGCGACGGAGGTCGGCATACATTATAGCTATTCGGACTGCTCTCTGAAAAGTTCATTTATTGTACATCCGTTATCACTCTCTGAGGTTGTGCCGCCATAACATTCTACGCCTCCCTTTCTTCTCTTCTTGATTTTTCCTGCATAATCAGTTGGGAGCAAGGTGTATTTACTCTCCACGTTTATATGTCCGAGATATTCCAAATTTTCTTGTTTAATTTTATTTAAAATTTCTATTTCTTTTCTCATCTTTCTCAGAACCTCTTTGTTTGTGACATGTGGACATGTTCTGTCCAAGATATTTTCAGAATTCTTCTATACACCCACGCTCGAATGTTCCAGTTTTTCTTTAATATCGCCATTCAGCTCCAAGATTCCATTCCATAAAACAAAGTCGAAAAAACATAGCACCTCTCCAACCTAACTCTTACTTCCGAAACGTATACAGAAGAAGACAGAGAGAACAATAACGAAAACGGAACAAGATGAAGAACAAGAAGAATTGACCTATATAGAATTGACAGATAAAATATGCAAGAGAACATGGTTAAAACAGTAAAAGCACAAAGAATTAGATGGCATGGACTGAATGGTATGGAGTTATAACGGAATGGATACCATCAGGTAAAAGAAGTAGAGGCAGACCTAAACTAAGATGGAGACAACCAGTGGAAGAAGACTGAAGGAGTATAGAAATTAGAAATATAGAATGGGATAATCAATGAGAGCGAAAATGGAGAAAAGTAGTAGAAACAGCGAAGTCACACCAGAAACTATAAATCCAAACCCAGAATGGGATGATCACCCACACAAAAAGGATCTTCAAGTGAAAAAGGACCTTATAAGTGGGATATATCAGATTAAACTTGCACCATTTTACAAACAAGATAAAATAATTAGAGACAATCACAGACAAACCCGGATACAATAACAGTTCGAATATTTTTTAGATTTCGACCAGCTACAAAACACCAAATATTCATTTCCTACATTTTTGATGAAGCCTGCAGAAGACCCGATTATCCATAAGGAGGGGCTGGTTTTCCATAAGAATAGTTGCGGGGTCGTTTACCATTGCATCAATTTGAAATAAGTATCCTTTTTAAAGTACCATTGCATCAATTTAAAAAATAATATTGACTTACTTTACTCGTCGACAATATTTCTGAAATCGACATATTGGAAGGATGCGCAGCATTACTCGACATAGGTGTAGACGAAGCCATAGACTGGTTACTCATCGCACTTCTCTCTGGAGCTGTCAATAGACGTGCCAATGTAGGACTAAACGATGTTTTGGTGTTTTGTTTTGTAGGAGACTGAAAAACAATGTAAAATTTATTAGCAGGAAAATTAAATAAATAGCAATGTTAGTAGCAATGTAATGTAAACATAGCAAGTGAGTGAAGAATAGAAAAAAATAAGGGCTAAGTAGCATAGAAAGATAATAATTATTCAAAATAATTATATATTCCGAATTAAATAAGGGATATTTAATACAGTAAAGTTTGCATTTTAAATCACACAAAGAAATTGACCTAGTTATTGCATTGTTTGATAATTGTTTATACGTAGGAAAAGCACGTCAAACAGAAACTGTTATTGTAATGTCAATATAGGACCCACAATTCAGCGAAAACGCAACCTTGGACTACAACCGGTCAATGAGGACACCAGTTGATAAAAACCAAACTAAGGAGGCCAGGCAGTTAGTAATAGCGAGTCAGTGGTAGTACGGGGAGCGCTCAGGCAGTATTGGCCAGGCGCCGGGTCGACGCAGTAGCGTCGAGTACGCGAGTCAGTAGTGGTACGGCGGGAGCACTCAAGGCAGTAATTGCTGAGCTCCGGGTCGGACGCGATAGCGTCCCTTACGTACAGGCAGTCGGTATCTCTCCGGGGAGTGCTTAACACCCGGCATAGTATCTCGTTGTAGTCCGGTTATTGGTGGTAACTCGTAAGTTCGTAACACAGGAGGAGACCCCTCAACTGACCGAGCTCCAGAGGACCGAAGACGTGTCGTTGTTGAAAGCCTAAATACACATAAGGTAACAGATTTCTATATACTAAACCTGAGTAATTATAATAGTACAACTGTCAACTCTTCACTCTCTCGCTCCTCGTCTCCCGACGCGCGTAGAATGACTTGTTAACGATATGTATTTGTAACTTCAGGGTAAATTCAATATATTGTAGACTCATAAATTGGTTTTTTTAATGTTCTCTTTCGTCCGACTCATTAGAGACTAGGAGAATACAAGATTCTGCTTATGCATATCTCCGGCTTCAAAAGTAAGCCCATAACCTCTGCTCTTTACAGGACCTGAGACCTAGGAGTCCTTACCCCTATCCCGAAAATCCCTTATCTTCTCGTAAATCCACGAAGACGAACCAGTCAGTTCGGACCAGTGGGGCCAGTAAGCCTTGCAGCCGCTCGCAGGGTTAGCATCCTTTGAGGATCTATAAAGTATTGCAGTGGTGACAGTGGAGTCGCCCCTCCTGTATTACATCTGGTGACAGCGTTTTCCTTACCTTCACATAAATCCCCCTTGTAACACATTACAGCAAGAGGACTATTATACTAGTGAAATATATTAAAAATAAACACGAAGGATATAAAAAATGCGAAAAATCCGTCTGGAAGTCAGATCCACATAAGGGAATCACTTTACTAACAGTTTTTTACCATCTATCTGTTTCAGGACTATAAATGAATCTTTCCATTAAACTCGATGTTCATTTTCCCATGCATGTTTATATATTTGAGATCTATCAAATTCTCTTTTGATATAACATTGTTGTTCACTTTCTAACATTAAATGGCTTTGATGTTTCACCCAAATAAAAATGTTCTCATTCACAAGGTATTTTATAAATACACTTATTTGTATTTTCTTGTTCGTTGTTAGCTTTGGTTTTAGATAAAATAGATCTCAAGGTGTTTGTTGTTTTGAATGCTGTTGAAATGTTATTTCCTGTCCTTTCAAGTTTTTCTGATAATTATTTTATGTATGGTGTCAGAGATTGCCTTTTCAATTTGTTGAATGAAAGGCGTGTTGGGCCACGAAAAAGAAGAAATAAGAGACAGTATGAAGTAGACAATTAATATTATGTTGTTGTGTTGGTGTTGATATTGCAAGTTTGTTAATATTGCATATATAATTTTTAAGTAACTGTAATTCTGTATTCTGTGTAAAAGCAAATAAAACTGAATCCAACCTTCGTAAACTTGTCCAGTGAATTTAATTTAGGTATAGTACACTGATGAACAGGAAACAGCACTAGGTAAATTTGGATCCAAAGGCAGAAACGAACGTGGACAAACACTACTTGAATTTCTATTACAACAAAATCTATACCAGATCAATAGTTTCTTCTCTAAAAAAGATCACAGAAAATGGACGTGGAAAAACCCAGATGGTGAGACCAAAAACGAGATAGACTACATAATTACTGACAAAAAATATATATTCAACGATGTCACAGTCCTTAATACCTTTACCATAGACAGCGATCATAGAATGGTAAGAGCCAAGATCGCCAAACCAGGTAATACTCCTAATGAAGTGACATCCTATCGACCAATATCACTCCTTTCGGTGATGACAAAAACTATTTGAAAACCAAATAATAGAAAGAAAAAATCTTATAACAAATCATCAATTTGGTTTACACATATCAAGTTCCACGACTGAACGATATAAAGTAAAGAACATTTAGAAGAAAAGAAAGTTTGCTCTACAATTTCAAAGTTCATGCCTAAACAGTATTCAGGAATCTTAGAATCATATATTGCGAATAGATATTTCAGAGTAAAAGAAGCAGAAGTGTACATCGATTTAAGGGAGATCCAAGCTGACGTGCCACAAGGAAGTGTATTAGGACCAGTCCTGTACCTATTGTCTACGTGTGACATTCCAGAGCTAGAACAAAACGCTATTGTCACTTTCGCGGATTTAATATTAACCATACTAGCGATAGGAGACACTATTGAACCAAGGTCGACTGATAAAGTTGCAAACTATCATTAAATACAATACATACCTGGACCAGAAAAATGGGCGAAATTAAAATTAAATGAGACTAAATCTGCACACATTAACTTTACAAATAAAAAAATGAAAATTTCCCAGTTAGAATAAATGATACCCAAGTTTCTTATGCAACATCAGCAAAAATACTTGGGCATCACCTCCTAGACGTAAGGCTGCGCTGGAAAATTCTATGTCAAAAAGAAAAGAGGGGAGCTTGATATTAGATTATCCATTCATAATAAATTATCCATTTACAAGCAAATACTGAGACAAGTATGGGTATATGGGAGAAAACTCTGGGGCTGTATGAAAGCTATAGATAAATTCACATTCAGATGGCAGCGTTACAGAGATAGGCCTGTACTTTCTATATGCCAGAAATAACTACATTGTTGTCAGTTTTTAATCGTACCTACAATCGTACGTTATGGGCCGGCTCCTATAAAAGAATTATAATTTCGGAAATATTTATGAATGTGAAACGTAAAAATACATTTTTTTAATTATATAATTTTTCTGTTGGTATTTTAAAAATAGAAAGTTATATTTCGGAAATCTGGTCTTTTCGGAATTATATCCATGTATGGAAATGAAATAATTATTTGTATAATCCGTTTTTGATCTTAATGTCCTTTTAATGACACACTTTCTCTACCTGCATTTACAGTTACAGACATTAAAAAATAATTTAGAATTAAAAAAATATACCTATTTATAAATTCAAAATTATTGTCTAATGCCAGCAATTATAAATTCAGGTAAATACTTGAGAGTCATTAAAAGAATTTTCAGTTGATATCAGACGTTTGTGTCGTGTCAGTGTCAAAATAGCCGCGAGTGTAATAAAATTCAAAAACGGTAATTTGTTAAATAGTGAATGCCAAAAATAGTGTTAAATATTTTTAACTATTTATCAAACAGTAATAATGATAAAAGTGTATCAACAATAGTGCGGGAAGTTTCTGCTATAACTGGAGTCTCTGAGCGAACGATATTCCGATATAGAAGTGAAAGTAAAAATGGTCCACTCGTAACTCCTATAAGAAAAAAAAGAACCGGTTATTTGAATAGTCGTGAGAATAGATATGATGAAGCAACTCGGTCTAGAATAAGACAAGTAGTGCACGGTTTTTTTATGGACAATATTCCTCCAACCCTTGACGTAGTACTAGAAAAAATTAAGCAAATGGAGCATCTTCCGAATTTTTTCAAGAGTACGTTGAGAAGACTATTGCACGACATGGGTTTTATATATGGCAAACAAGGTAGAAATTCAATATTAATAGAAAAACAAGAAATAGTCGCTTGGAGGCGTCACTATCTCCGGGAAATAAAGAAACTGAGGAACGAAGGAGCCAATATCATTTATATGCACGAATCATGGGTTAATACTGGAATAACCAATGGGCAAGTATGGCAAGATACAACAATAAAAAATAGCCGACAGGCTTTCGTAAATGGACTTACCACAGGTTTAAAAACTCCGACCGGAAAAGGACCAAGATTTGTTTTAGTCCATGCAGGAAACAAAGACGGATTTGTTGAAGGTGCCGACATCACTTTTCTTGCCAAAAAAGGTGCTGAAGATTACCATGAAGAGATGGACGGAGATCTATTTGAAAAATGGTTTGAAGAGATGTTAATACCGAATCTCCCAAAAAATAAAAAGAATGTCATTATCTTGGACAATGCATCTTATCACTCTAGGAAATTAAATTTTCCCAAACAATATTGGGTGAAACGTCAAATTAAGGAGTGGCTCTATGAAAAGGACATTTATTTTGAAGAAGATTACTTAAAAAATGAACTTCTGGAAACTGCTAATGTATTTAAAAATATTTATGACAAATACAAAATTGATTGTATTGGTGAAAAATACAGGAATCACAGTGACGAACAATGCCGCGTAGATGTACATATCTTAAGACTTCCGCCTTATCACTGTGAACTGAACCCAATAGAAATGGTGTGGAGTGAAGTGAAACGGTACGTGTCCTCTAAGAATTCAAGTTTCAAACAAAACGTCGTTAAAACATTGATTTATGAAGGTTATGATAAAGTAGAGAACAATGGACATTGGAAAAATTACGTCAACCATGTTATAAAATTGGAGAATAATTTTTGGACAGTAGACAACATTCAAGATGACATTGAACCTATTAGAATTTCATTAAACGATGACTCTGAAGATGAACTAGATTATGAAAATGAAGATGATTGAAAATTGTTTTTCGGGGGTATTCTTTTCTCAGTAAAGGTAATAAAATATTTAGCTGATCTGGTTGAAA